GAGATGCTACTATGCAGATTTATCGACGATGTAAGAATCAATAACTTTGTTTGTTTTATAAACAAAATGCAAAGTTGAAAATTGAAATATAAAAAACAATTCGCTCTTGATTTTAATACCTTGATGGAGTATTAAAAACAAGAATGATCGTCGGATAAAAATTGAAAAAACGCGCGAGAATGATGTAAACAAGAAAGATTATAAAAGAAGAATACAAAAGACTGTGTACATACAAAGTACGCGTGAACTATAATATACATTTGCAACTTAAGTTCAAAAGTCGAACCCATTTACATAAACAAGATCTCTGTTCCACGTGTGTCTCACAATTTTAAACTTTCTCACTTTTTCTCTCTTTCTGTCTCTCTCTGTCTCTGTCTCTCTCTCTCTTTCTTTCTCTCTCTCTCTCTCTCTCTCTCTCTCTCTCTGCAAATATATTAAAAAATCTTATGATTTAAGCACAACTGTGACTAAAATCTGCGATTTTATATATACGCACAACATTTTGTTATTATACAAAATAAAATATTTTCTGTCTGATTCACCATAATTTTTTGCTGAGATCGGCGTCGGCGGGAGGTGAGCGATACCGTTGCGTGCAGATAGATCCTGGCAGCCGTCTGTGATAATAAAAGGACGAACGTCACTTCTCTCGGGTGTGCGCACAAAATCACAGCACTTGGCACGTATCGCGTTGCGCGGCGCGGAAGGAACGACTCGCACATCAATCGCGGAACTTGTTCTCGACCTGTGTTCTCAAGCGGAAAAACGTCTATCGCACGATTTGACCGGTAGCGTTTGCCGGAACAAACAGCACAGACGATGGACCGACGGCGACGCAACAAGTGACAGACTCTGCGCCTCACAAGCGCTCGTAGTTCGCGGCTGTATGCGCGCGCTCTTCGAGGGCACCACTAACCGAACTGCGCGCGTTTTATTTGACTCTCGTCCTCGGGATACGAGGGATCGATTGTACTTTGAAATCCCATTTGTTTACATAAAAGAATAAGAAATTATCGTGACAAGGATGAAAGAAAGTATAGAAATACAGATATCGAATATAATATAAAAGGATATCGGTTGTTTTTCTGTTTTACGTTTTCCCGTTCCGTAGAGAGAACAGTTTCCCTTTTTTAATCATTTAATATATACATGATATATAATTTTTAACTTGAGTTTTCCGAGAGGAAGTTCATCGAAGAGTCATAGTATTGATAACTACAGTGTTGATAATGTAGTTTTTGATTATTAATTCACGATCATAATTTTATTTTACGCGTGATCTAATTGACAAATAAAAACATGTGAAAATTGTATTCAATAAGATATTTTAAATATCGCAGATAAAATTTGTATAATTGTTGTTTGATAAAATTATTTTATTTACTTATTTTTCGTAAACTTTATTTGTTTCTGTACATAATAAATATTTAAGAAAATAATTATAATATAAATAAAATTAAATATATATATCTCTCTCTCTCTTTATATATTTGAGTTTTATCATATTTTAGCTGATGTCCCATAAATTCACGTGATAAACTCAAGTCACGTGCATTGTTTAAAGAAACACACAATAGATGTCAGCACGATTCTCTTGTTGAAGCTAGTACATTGATTGTAATGAAATTAGAAAGAATTCTGTATTATCGTCTCATTAACAAAAAGAAGATAAAAATTAAAGTTTTTTAATAAGATAATATTATTTTTTTTATAAAGACAAACTTATAACCACAGAAAGAGAAAAATGTACTCCGAATCGATACTCGACAAAAAAAAATTGAACCTGACCTTATTAAAAAAGTAAAGTGTTGGTAGATGGCTTGATCGAATGAATACATCAAGATAAACAAATCGAGCACTTTCTGGTTTGGAGCCGCGGGCTAAACGTCGATCTGTCATACGGGCAAGTCACAAATTTAGAAGACTTTCTTTTTATCGATCTCGATGTGGCGCCTCGAATATTTATTTACCCCTCTCCTCCCTCCTCCCGCACACAATAATCCGTGATCGTGACAAGTTACAAATCGAAAGAAAATTTACGTTCTACAAACAGTAGACACTTTCTTCTTTTGCAAATATCTATTCTTTTTTGTATGTGATTAACTTTCTATTATTTTTATTCATTAAAATTTTAATCAACACAAATCTCACAAGACATTGATTTGACACATGAGAGTCAAAGAATATTTTTTAAAAAACAGTTGATTGAAGACTCGATAAATCGAAATGACAGTCGGATTGAAATATTGTCGCTTTTTGATATTTATACGTAAGAAGTGCTCGAAATATATCTGCAAAATCGTTTCAAAACTTTTTCTTCTTGACCATCTTAAACAAAAACTGACTCTAAAATATTAAATTTTAAATAATTTCCATAAAATGTAGGAACTGCAAGTGAATTACGAACGTCGGTTGTAGAAGGTCGCAGATTACTGCCGTAAGCAGGAAAGAGCTCAAAGAATTTTGCAATTTTGCGCGATCTGTATATATTATAGTATAATCCGATTAAGAATATAAAATTCCATTGTTTATGCGAGGACGGTTAAACCAAGGTTTGTTTTAAATTACTTCTTCTCTTTCTCTCTCGGTGTTATATTATATTATATTTTTCAGACCCGCGCATTAAATGCGCTATCTGACGATTTTTATGACCGTTGATTCTGTGCAATTTTTTTTTTTTTTATCAAACAAAACCGAAGAAAGACGCAGCCACAGAACAGCCAGCGACATGGTGTCACGGCATTCTTATCTACAGGCACGAGGTAGCTGTAGGAGTCCGTGTATCTTTACTTTCACTGTTCGCGGTCCGAGATCTAAGACACGTTGTCCCTCGCGATGACCTTCTCGCATCTGGAAGGACCACCGGAGCGGCCTGGCACGGCCGCGAATCGAGACGGAAGTAGAACAATGAAACAACGTGAAAATATCGGGAGCGATCGAGCGCGATCGCGCATCCCTTGCGACCGCGATTGATCTGTTTAGAGCGTCGGCTGGACAATATCTTTACCGCTTTGTTCGAACGGCAAGACCGTTGGAATTTGAATTTACATCGCGCTGGGCGAAGACGAGCCACGGATTCCAGCGTGGCATAAATTTCGTGAAACGTGTGTGTGCACGGCGCCGGCAATCGAGATATTGACAAAGAGAGAGACGGACGAACACACGGTGAAAACGAATACATGTTTGTGCGCGCTGGAGGGAAACCTGTGGTGGGATATTCACGCGCGGCCGCCGATCGTCTTCTAAACCGCGAATGAAAGGGAAAGGAAGAGTTGCACGGAGGAGCTGCTTTAACTCTGTCTCCGAATGGGATTCGTCGGGGAATTCGAAAAGAAACTGAAAACAAGAAAACAAGAGAACATAAAAAAGTAAGAGAGTCTAGGCGTCTCTCCTTTCTCAAAGAGCTTGCGGAAGATTAATCTGCTACGTATAAATGTATGCATCGTAAATTCTAGAGAGAATAGCAAGAGGATATTTAATTAAAATAATTACCTAACAACGTTATGCAAAGAGCAAAAAAACGTAATACTTTCAAGCGAATCGTTTCTCTTATTTTATACGCGCGAACGAGTTTTAATAGTATTGGCGTCAAATAACCGGCACCGATTTCCGAACATTCCTTTATTGCATTTTAGCGTAATATGTAATTCAGATGGAATAATAAAATTTAATATTCGCGCGTTCGTAAAAAAAAAAAAAAAAAAAATATGATTCGGTGATCGCTCGAAAGTGATTACACGGCGAGGAGAGAAACAGTCGTCAGTTACAGAATTGCAGAATATTTGTTTCAAGATTTACTGCATGTATACGTTTGCGAAATAAAATAATTCTCTTCGAATATATCGTCACGTTTTATTTTATCGGATAGTGGCATCTTGTTTCCATATATGCCGACACACATGGAAAATGTCTTCTGTATCGATGCGGAAAGACATTCAAATTGCTCAAGACCGTTCTCCAAATTGTGACCTTTAATGTTGGCCCATGAAATGCAAAAAACGAGAGATTCAGATTAAAATATTTTCAGCAGCAATGGCAATGCGCGCGTTCGAAGTTAATAATTCTGCTGCACAAACGATAAAGATGACACCCCGATAATTATGCAAAAACCTAATCCAGTTGTGTAAACAGGCTTAATTTCCATTAATTCGTTTTTAATTCAAAACAGCTGCGGATTTCTTGACCAATTCAGTTTTTATACATTTTTTACAGAAATACTTATGAGTAATACTTATAACAATATAAATTATTACTTTTAAAGTATAAGGTAATACTTATAACAATATTTAATATTTGGTATTTAATATTTAACCAATTTGGTTCAGTAAAATTATTTGTTCAATTAAAACAATATCTCTATATATATTGAAAGCTTTTATTCACGAGTGCTTTTACCAGAATAAACATTGTTAGGCAAATATACAGAGAACGCGCCGTATTGCTTTGAAGCAGTCATTGATCAAGTTCAAGCGTTTTGTGTCCGCGAACTTTATCAATTGTCACTTATAAGTACGTGCGTACGTACGAGATTGTTTACGTGAAATAAAAAAAAAAAAAAAACAGAAAAACAAATAGAATACGAAACAAATCATTATACAACCAATTACATCATTTTGTTTCTCCGCATCTCATTTGCGCTGAGAGTAGAGTATGCCAATCGATATATGCTAAATATACTTTTATTAATGAATTCAGACGTAACGAGCTTGCGGAGCAAGCAACGAGCAAGCGGAACAAACCCGCTACACCTTCGCCACATTCGCGACTCGCCTTCTTGCTCTTGTGTGTAGCCGACGTGGAGTCTCTGTTGTACACTACTTCGCGACATTATACACGGCGATGTGAGGGGGTGAGTGTGAGCGCATATCATTAAAGATTACCGTATTGGTATCCCCGAGAGAGACCACACGTATATACGGTATATCGGCGAGCCCGGGCTTCGGCAACGGGTGGTTGCTGCGGCAGAGTGAGAGTGCCATATATATAGAGAGAAGGGGAAACTCGACTCGGCACTCCAAAGTACACAGCCTCCGCGATTGCAGTGGTGTGCTCTTTCGGTTGGGTTCCTGCCACCGTTGTCGCCTGATATTCAATCAAGTGGTAACAGTCGGCCGTCAGATCGGTGCTCATTTTTCAACAAAAGGAAACGTCCATCATCCGCAGGACTCGCAGATTTGTCTCTTCTGGTCCCGTCGGCACCATGAAACTTACGTTGTTCACGTAAGTACGTCGTTGCGTCCGCAACGTTCGCGAGATTTCGTCTCGACGAAGTGAACAGTTCGGTGCGAAAATAAAAAAAAAAAAAAAAAAAAAAAAAAAACTGTTATTCATCAGATTTATCGTAATAAAACAATGTCTCTCGATTTTAAATAAAATCTCGCACTAAAAAAACACGCGAGAATTCTTCGATATTCTCAATTTTGAGTGCAATCTTATTCTCGCTTACGTTGTCTAATTAAAATAATTGCAAAACGCGGTTGTAACATATTGGTCCAAGCCTTTGTTTTCCGATGAACTCGAGATGTTAAAAGGACAAGAGATCACGACGCGGGAAGAGGATTTTTGATCAAATTTTGTTCGTCGACGCGTTGTTCTACCGGCTACTTCTGCGATCACAGATTTTTTATTTGATTTAGTTCTTTGGTGAACCAGCGCGAGTAATTCCAAGGTTGTACATTCGCGATCGAGAGCGCAGCGCGTACGTACACACATCGTTTCAGGCTTTAATTCCTATCATTTTGTTACCTGTAATCAAAATTGCTGACGCCTGGAAACTGCGGCTGAGAGTGTCCAATAACTCTCGATCGCGAACGTGAACCGATGTACGATTTGAATAACTGATACAGAATTCGAGAAAAACAATTTAGCATAATGTTTTCGCACAATTTTGAATATAATGTATTCCGATTGAGAAGATGAAGCACGTGCTGGGGAGAAATTATTCAATCACCACCGACTGATTGATTAAGTTTGTATATGTACGTACTACCCGTTCGCGTTCGACTACATTTCGATCGGATTCATGATTCCATCGGGGCGCAAACACGTCTGCGAGCCGGGTATTAACGGGATGCAGAGAGGCGCGTTATGCAAACGCCTGCAGTAGTCGGTTCAAATCCTTTCCTGGTTCTGACCAGGAAATTGATTAGGAAAGCCGCGGCGAGAGCGAGAGCGCATAACTGCAATTATTACTTAAAATCGATTAGTGCGCGTCGAGAAATCAGAAATTTGTACAAATATATATCACATATAACATACAATATTTCTAGCTGTTAGTTTTATTAAAATATTATCTGTACATATTCTAACGCAATGGCATTGTCTTTTAACATCTGTATCGCAAATCAGCGAGAAAAAAACTAGAGAGAAAGACATTTATTACGCCGAGAGGCGAGGTTTCTTAAGCACGCAATAAAAATGCATCAGATAGCAAAGAAATTTGCATCACATTTATGCAGTTAAAAAAAAAAAAAAAGAACGAAAAGATACTGAGAAATATAAAGAAGTAAGATTAAAGTGTAAGAATAGAAACTAATGGAGAAAGAGAGAGAGAGAGAGAGAAAGAAAGAAAAGAAAAAGATAAAAAGCGCAATAAAGATTTTTTATGCAGGTAGCTACTACAAACCCACGCACAACTCTAACGACATCCTGCAGACAGAGAATAATGCGAATGCAATTATTTCTCTCGAAGGCGAAGCGCTGGCAAGTTCACTGATCTCGCATCGCGACAAAGAGAACAGATCATCACGAACTCCGTCTTTTGATACAAATTCAGACGCATGCAAATCGAGATTTCCGTGCGCCGGGAGATTACGCGAGAAAAGTTGCAAGGATTTGTGTTTATTAAAATTTTCTACGTCGAATAATTACCCTCTTTTATCGACGATCGACTAATCGCTTGCACGATCGCGTTTGCACGTGACATTTTTTTTTATTTCTTTTTATCTCAACTTTCAGTTGCTCGTACGATCGTGACTTTTTTTTAATTTCTTTTTATCTTGAAACTGTCCAGTACAATATCTAATTTAACTATTTGGTCACGTCGAGACTGAGACGTGTATTTTCAATGCAAGCAGCTTTCTTAATAAAGGTCTTTTTTTTTTTTTGATTACGTAAAAGTACGTTTATATTAGAATGCTCCATATAAATAGATTCTGACATAAAACAATGATAATGACTCTGTTGTGATAACAAATATAAATGATCTGGATAAAAAGTAGGCGAGACAAGTTTTGCTTATTATAATAACAAATATCGGTTTGATAATCATTTTTATTACGACGTTAAGTAGACTTAGATATGTGATGGCAATTTTACGACTCCTTAATAATCACGAGTCGATAAACTAATTGCTATAAAAAATTTATGACAGCAAAAGAGATTGTTGTAGTCTGAATTTTTTGGTTAATTATTTTTAACCAAATTGATTTGTTAATTAATTACAAAAACAGACAAAAATTTTACTCCCGTTAAATTGTCGACGGGAAAGATAACCTTGCTAACGGTAAAAATGTAATACCGTGCGATGACGCGCGGTGAATAATGACGGCGGCGTACGAATGTTCCGTTTCAAAGAACTCAAACAGTGTCGCACTGTCATTAGCAATGCGACGAGAATATTTAGCCAGCATGATAATTAAGCGGGGAGCTAATGTTTCAGAAAAATACATTCATGAGAGACACAAATGATGAATGGCACGTGTTATTTTTAATCAGCGTCACATAGAGAAAACTATTCAGGCTGAGAGAATGATTTTTATCGTCGGAATGTCCTTTCAGCAAAGAATTTAATTGCCATTCGCGAATAAAGGATCTATCCATCTGTCTATCTGCGATGAGGTAATCACGATTAAAATATAAAGAATTCTTGCGTCAGGAAAACTGCTAAAGGCCAACCTTCGGAGAGAAAAAGAAGTTCAAAAATTATTCAGCGTGAAAGCGAGAAAGAGCACTTTAGTCGAAGATTTGCATCAGCTGCGACACTCGTGCTTGTCTCCAAGGAAAAGTCAGATAAAGAAACTTGTACTCTCTATATGACCGAACAAATATTGTCTCAGAAAGTTGGCGAATGATCGTTCACTTGATTATACTTGGCTGTCGATAATAATACGCTTTGAATGAATAAAATAATATTCCGAGTGAATATTTCGCCAAGAATTGGCATGCACTTTCACGCAGCATCACTGCGTGTGCATCCCACGTGATTAACACCAATCTAATCGCGTGGGCAACTCATCGTGTCGTTTTGACCAAATGCGGAGGTAAAGACATGAGTTATTCCGGAGACTCGACCTTGCTCATTAGTTATTATCGTTCCGTTCGTTCGTAATGATTCAAAATACGATTCAAGATATGATTCATAAAATACGAAGCGTGCAAACAAATCTTTACAAAAATCTTATATTAAAATTCACGTAGAAAGAAATTAATACTTAACAATCTTTAAAAAAAGATTACTACGATATTCTAGAAAATATTGCAACGAATTGCGAAAAAAAGTAAGGAAATTTACATATTTTCTACTCAAACAACACGTTTTTTACTTTTTTATTTTTATTTGTTTTGAAACCAGTGACAATCGTGTTGCTAAATGTCGTCACCGTTCTCGTTTCGTACGGTGTTCCAAATCCGCGTTTTCGCAATCGTCCTGCGCGAATATTCCTGCGGCGATCTATCGAACAAGATGACCGGAGCGTCGTGGATCCCTCGAAATTTCTCCCCCTTTCTTTCTTGACCGCGGGCCTTCGAGGTTCGGCTGGTTTTCTTGACATTTGTGAGCCGCCTCACGTATGAATGTCCCGTCGTGACGGCGCGGCCAATCCCGAGCGCCGCGCGGTGCGCGCGAATTGCACGAGAGCCGAGCAGAGAAAGTGAGTCTCGTGTACGTGAATGTCACAGGTCAAAATCCACCTGGTGTACACGGATCTACTACGAGTGAACGCGAACGCGCGAACATGCGAGAAACGGGCGTCGCGCCGAACCGAGCCGAGCCGAGCGCACGTATAATAATCGCTGCAGCGCACGTCACACAAAGTAGGATCTTTCGTCCTCGGACGACTTCTTTTTTCGGAATTCCTGGCGAAAGTTGCGCTCGCGGATCCTGTCTTGGCACACATGTATCCTGCGTAAAATCGCCTCAATGACACGCCGGAGACAAAAGTCCGATTTGCGCTGCTTTTCAGAGAAACACTTTTAGAAACACTGTCTAAAAACTGAAAGAGAATGCAAACAACGTTTGTCACGGTTAGAAGAAAAATCTAAAAATTTTATTTTAAAATTGCACGAGAATAAAATTAATTTAAAAAAATATACATGCCAATTATAAATAAGTATCTCATCGGAAGATTAATGAGACATGCAAGATGCATCTCTCTCGCTTTTAAATTTCTACCGATAATCTTGCTTTCCAGCTGTTACGTTTTCAGAGAGCAGCCTGACTTGCATATTCCGCTGTGTCTCTCTTGAGTGCAACCTGTCAATAAAACGCCATAAACTCGTTTCACGACGGTGTTAGACTGCTTAAATTACACATTTTTTTTTTTACACGCAAATACATACACACGTAAGCGACAGCACGAATTGTTATACAAGTTTTCATACAATCTTTTGGTTTGGCTTCCTCCCAGACTCTGGGAAAATTATTTTCTAAGAACGTGATCCGCATGAACGCGATCGCGCGCGTGTTGTAATCTGCAGCTGTCGTGCGTATGACAAAGCGGCATCGTTCTTCCGTGTAACTCTTGTAACGCCGCGTCATATATAACTAGTATTCGAATATAAACGCCTATTTTTCTTAAAGAAACACATATGCGTGTATCTAACACGTGAGTTATTCTGTAATCAAACACCGAGACACGATTTTACGATCTGATTTTGTAATCAACAGAATTGTAGATAATGAGAAAATTAATTAAAAAACCCAAAAATAAATTTAAACTATGTTACTTCTCGTTCAAGATAAATTAAGTTAAAAAAGCAGACGTTAATGCGGAAATTGCAAATAACTCATAATAATAATTTATGTTTCTTTAAAGATTATTGGCCCTCTGTATAATTGCTGTCTGCAAATCGGCTGAAGAGGAATATGATTACGAAGAGGAGGCAGCAGCTGCGCCTCCGGTGACGCCGGCGCCAGCAAAGCCGGCAGGTGGTCGACTGGGAGGACTCTTGTCGCCGAGAGGACGTACCAACGTAGCAGCAGCAAATGTGGGAAAAAAGAGAGCACCGGCGGTGAATAGATAGTTTTTTGCATTACAGCTTTTAAAGTAGATTTAAAAAAAATATTTCAAAATATGATTATAACTAATAACAAAGATTATAACGCGCGCGATTATGACTAAAATTAAAATAATCTTGAAAATGTATTTTTTTAATACGTCTCTCTCAAATTAAATAACAAAACTATATCTGTAAAATAATGATGTGTCTCTTTTTCGTTTCCTAGACTCAATCAACAACGTCAAAGCCGGTGGAACAAGCACCCGAGGAAGACGCAGATGCAGAAGACGAAGAAGTGCTCGAAGAAAGTCAAGAACACGATGCTCCGACAACGACTACCGAATCTACGAAAAAGCTTCGTAGTAACGGAGGCGTCAGGCCCTTCAGGTGACAAAACATTTGGCAAATACTTTATGCACCTGTTGTATTCCGTAAAAAAACATGGACGCAATATAATTTCAGATCAAACGAGGATCTCTTAAATGCTTTGAAAAGAAGAAGAGCCCAGATTGGGTCTAGCAGTCATTCGCGAGAATCTGCGAGCACACATTCCGCAGCAGAGCACACCACACCCAAGTCAAAGTAACGCAACAAGTCGAGTAGAAAATATTTATTTCGCAAAAGTTATACTAAAGCAATCTCTCTTGTATTGTAAATAATATAAATTATAAAAAAAAATCTCAGATAAGAAAGTCACTTACGATTTCGATTAAAACGTGACTGATGGTTTGTAATATAATTGCGTAATGTATTTCAGAGTCACAACCACAAATAATCGTAGCAAGCCTAGCACAGGTGGTGAAGCGAGACCGTCAGGACGCGGTAGGTTCGGAGGAAAGGGAAGTAAGACTGTTCAAGAAGAAGTCGAGGAGACTCAGAGAGAAGAGATTCAAGTGAAGCCTAAAGTCTCTCCTCGCAGGGGTTAAGTCAACTCCGGTCTACTTCGCGTTGAGAACTACCTAAAAATTTGTTGATTTCTCAGAAATACATCAATTTCAAATTCAACGTACATTCAGCGCACAATGTCAGTCTTTTTAGTTCTTTTTTTTTTTTATTGCAAGGTTTATAATTGTAGCGAAACAATTTCAAATGTTTACGACAATCGCGGATTTTCGAGTGTCATACTTTCCGCGTATACGAAAACTTTCGATAACTAACATTAAAACAATTTGGGCACGAGTTACATGGAAGAGACATCATGTCTTTCTCGAAGACCGACAGCTTCGTTCACGTTTCTCGCGAAGTATTGAATACACTCTTATAGCTCTCGTCGATGAAGAAATATGTTGAAAGTGAGCGTATCGATTATTTGCAATAGGTGTTAACCCGAGAAAGACAGTTTTCTCCTTCGTTACTAAATTTCGACCGATGCGTCCGTGTTAGGAGATACGATGGAAAAGTGATGTGTACATAGCAAAACACCGCCGTCCGTCAAGTACTTATATATATATATATATAAATATAAATCAACTATTGTATAAATGTAAATTAATGTCACAATAAAATTTCTGGAAAGTTACGCTGTCTTTTCCATCTATTCTTTTGCTTCGTGTGCAACTAATTGTATTATTTTAACGTGTAAAATACTATAAAAACTGAAATCTGATTAAATAAAACTTAATTAAACAGGTTTGTACATGTATTAAAATAGCTTTGAAATTTCTTTAATTAATATAAAATACGAAATGCCTAAAACTCTGATAAAAACTATTCAGAAGTCTCAAAAAAAGTTTTGATTTTCAAACCTGAAAAATTCTTTTTACAAATTCTCGGCTTCACAGTATTTTCCAGAGTACTTTCAAAACCGTTTGTTATCTTTGCTCGATCTCTTTGATCTATAAGAGTTTGATTCACACCTTTGATACTGCCCGTAGTATCAAAGGCGAATGAACTCAACCGCGCGCTTTACCGTCGGTCGACCGTAAAACCTTATGTACGTATATATATGTATATATATATATATATATATATATATATATATATACGTACGTGACAAAAGTTACAAAATAATATTCTATCTTAATGTAAAAGGTAGAAACACGTGCGCGCGCGGAATTTCAATTTCACTGAACGTGATCTCTACGTAAAAGCAGAATTTTCTAAATTCACTGTTCTCTATACAAAAACAGAAAAAAATGTACACACCGTCCTTCAGAAGAAGGCAATACCATCGAAATATATTTGTCTGCCTCGAATTAAACGTGTTTCACGTCACAATTAAATAGACTGTTATTTTTCTCATTTCCAAGGCTCATTTGCTACAAATCGAAACAAGCTCGTAATAAGTCTAATTAAGCTGTTTAATTTCAGACCTTATATCTGATCGGAGGCGTAACGTTCTCCTTTATTGTCTCGTCTCGCGAATGTTCAGACCCGTGAAAAAATAATGATGCACTCATCGGGGAATGTGCACACACGGGAGAAACTCCTACGATGAACTTCGGAATGTTGGAGGCGTTCGGCGCGTGCACTCTCGCATTCACGCGTCTCGCATTGTGCGCGTTACAGGTAACGGCGCAAGAGAATTTTACCTTACCACTCCCGAAACTCCGAAAGTTTGTGATGCCGACCGACCCACTTTATTGCCGATAAATAATCCAATCACGACCTCTCCTCAACGCGGACTTCAATTTTATTTACTCCAATATCGAATTGTCTCTTGCGTGCTTAAAATTACGACGCCATCCAAAAGCGAAATAGATAAAAGCGAAGCGCAAGTAGATTCTTTCAATAAACAATCGAGGAAATATCAGCTAATTGAGTCACGTGTCATACATAAATTACAAGAGTCGACATTGTAATAATTTACTTTCAAATATGTATTCTAGATTTGTAATAATGAAAATTTTTGTGTTTTTCAATATTCGAATTTTTTGAATCAAATCGTGAAACGCGCGTGTACAAAAATATCGTTACTATTAAATATTTCTCATAACCTGCACTTTCCGCGAAACTCTTGCGACACTCTCGACTTTCGAGCGTGTACACACAATCTGAAAGCTGGAAACTACAATCGACCGGCAACAGGTCTGCGATACGAATCTAGATACGACGGTGGTCCAAAACTAATCGAGGCGTCAGCGTTTACAAGGAATATGACCTATAGACGCGGGTAATTCGTCCGTGAGCGAGCACGAGAACGCTGAACTTTAAAGTTCACCGTCGACTAGATTAAACCAGGTGACGTTCGTGGCGGGGACTTTGCGGTTTTCGGTTGTCCTCGCGCGTGCTACGCAGCCTTGGATCGCGATTGCAGCCGACGACGACGGGAGGACTACAAATCGATGAGGAATCCAAGGGAGAGTGCGGATAGAACGCTAGAAAACGAGAAGAAACGAAGGAGAGAGAGAAAGGTGGTCGCGACCGGGCCCGTAAGAGCCAGAGGTGTACATACGACAGGCAGGAAAGTGAGAGGAGGTGGCATCTGGTCGGCCTTGAGGCTTTTACGAGAAACATTTCACTCACAAAGAACATCCAAGCCGCGTCGTGACACCGGGATGCCACGTTTCGGCCGCAAAAAAAAATCAACAAAAGGGAAGGGGAGAAGAAGAGATAAAAAAATGCAAGTCGATAACTCTCAAGAGCAGAAGCATCAACGCTATTATTAGCAGCTAGAGATAAGAAAAATGTCATGCATTCAAGATACATTTGTACTGAACTCACAAGAATGTTGGGAATAAAAAACTTGACCTTTCTGTATTATAATTAGTCAATATTCAAATTATATCGCAAAAAGTTGTTGGATCAACTTCATCAAATTGCTTAACAGACATTCAAAATAAAAAAAATTATGGTTTATTAAAATTTAGTAAACGAAGAATCTTTGAAATTTGAAGAATACTGAAGAGTAAAAAGATTTTTTCAGTTTAACAAAAATTTTTATCCTTTCTTCCTAAGAATTAATATCAAATTGACACAATATTCTTTTTAATGTTTAAATGACCATCAAAAAATATCGCAACAAATATAAAGTTTTCTGCAGCTCATTATAATCGTTTAAAATGCTCGGATAATAATTTTTACATCAAGCCAGAGAAATGTATTTAAGTCACTCGAGTGTTTGTCATGAGATGTGCATCATTGTGAACGTGCACATTTGCACACAAATATCTTCGCTCGCCTATAATACAATTCTAATCGCGAAACGGGAGTGATCCTGTCCTGTTCACCAGTCATCCTTGATCGCGACGACATTCCACGAGGAATTTCCCGTTTCTTTTGACCTCCGCTAGCTAATGCAACCGTTGACATCGCAACCCTCGTTAAAACCGTTATTGTTGTTCGTTGTTAAAAAGCTTCCTCGCTTCTGCGAGGAAAGTGAAACAAAGATTTCCGTCTGTGTGACGCGCGAAAAAATAGCGTACGGTGAAAGGAGAGAAATTTTGATGCCGTCAGATTGCACGTGCGAAGTTCCTCGCCATCGCGATTTATTAGCGCCTCTTATTACGGCAAAGGTTAAATTTGTCGTCGTTTTCGAAATATTGTGGATTTCCTAATTATCTGCCTCGTGTAATTTTTTGTTTAATCAAATTTTCTAACAAATTTCAAAAAATTTTATTCTAAAACAAAAACACAAATAAACACCATAAACGTATAAAAATAACAACGAAACGCATATATTCGAATTAAGCTTCATTATGTTGTTACGCGTATTATGGACAATTACATAACTAAATGCGGTTGTTTGAGATGATAATATACGACTTTTATGTGTGAACTCGTACGGATGTACCTGCAGGCAACGCAATAAGTTTCCACGTTGACCTTTTAATAATGTCATAGAAATTGCAAACGTGATCATGTTTCTACTTACGCGCCTATATTTTCATGTGTATAAAATTATTCTTACTCTTTGAAACAAGGCGCGAAAATTTTAATCAGAACATGGAAATTTCGTTACTGAAATGTTAACTTCGCACATGCTTTGTCGAGCATGTAAAACACATGCACATAAATTAAAAAAAAAAAAAACTCTTTAAAAAGTATTATATTCTTATATTGCGACAAAACTGATATCAATAGAAGAAAGTGATTTCGCGACGCAAACGTGACTCTATAATTATACAAAATGCGCACATCTCGGCAATTTATGTCGCCGACAAAATGTCGTTGCAACATAAGGAAATGATTATGAAAATACGGCGTGCATTACAACTTGGCGTATTGCACAAACTGTAACGCGCATGTCCTCTAAGAGCGAATAAATACCTATGTTTGTCGATTGCGCGCGCGCGCGACAGTTCATAATTGCACTTCATTTGCGGGAGTAAAGAAAGAACGTGTCTTTCTTTAGAAAGAGATTTATTCCGATTTGTCCCCCTTGAAACGAAACATTGCTCAAACTGCATCAGTACAATGTGCGAACATATTCATCTCGAGTAATGAAGTAACGAAGTACATTAGCGAGCTAACCGGTGCGCGAGCTGTATAATAAAGTGGTTTTATTACTCTCTATGCCCGCAACAAATGCAATAACGTAATTTTGAAGATAATGATAAAGCAAACGATATTGTAATCACGTACACATTTTAGTTTTGATAAACTACATTGTGTGTGTTGCGGAATCAGATACGTTTGATATAAATCGGCCGATATTAAAGAGTACTGTGAAGAATCGCGTGTCACGAGTTATTGATCGCTCGATTAATCACTCATGTACCGATCTTTGTGTAATCGCGAGCAGGATATCCGACTTATTAATAGCCCGTCTCGATTGAACGCGCGTCACGGAGAAAAAGGCGCAACAAGTGTCGTTGTGTTCGTTTACGACGGTAACAGTCAAGATTGCGACTCGAGCGGTTATATCCTGATCAGCGAAATCAATGAGCGGTAATAACATGGGTAGCCGACGGTAAAATAAAAAAAAATAAAAAAAAAAAAAACAACTATCACGTGAAGAAGAAAGAGAGAGAAAGAGAGAAAGGTGTAAGAGAAAGAGGGAAGGACTTTCTCTCTTCAGGGGCGGAGGTGATTCTTGTTCGCTTTCCCTGATATACATCGCATCCGTTCGCGCGAGTCCGAACGCGCGCGAGGATCGGCACGTGGACAGTACTCCATCACAGGTAAAGAACACACCTAAGCATATCTGCGCGCGTGTCGGTTATGATGTATCCTTCTAAAAGTGAGAATCTGGAATTCCGCGCGAACAGCGTGCTATTACGTAATTTAATGAGAAAGCAGACATCTTACGAGAGAAGTTATTCAAAAGCAAAACAAAAGAAAAAAAAAACAGTCGGACTTATTACCGGCGCGAATTTATAATTGTTATAAGCCGGTTATCTAACGTTAACTACGCCCGATAAGTCCGCGTAGTTTTCAAACCTTCTTGTGTGTTTGATTTTTTCACTCCACATTACTTGTGCAACTTTTTACGCTTCTACATTCGATTGCGTAACGCATGTGAAACGTACGCGATGCTTACTCTCGTGAGGAATTCTCGCGCGATATATTTAACGCGACGTCGAATTAACGTATATGCATGTATACTGCATGCGAGAACAAGGAAACACATGTGCGCGC